AAATATACATCGGCATACTTAATGCCTAAGGCATTCTCTGCCCTATCGCAGGAGAAAAGATTCGTCGAGATTGCGTCTTAATGTGATCTGGCCGCCATCCTACCCCCTACCACAGCAATTAATCGGCCACTAGAGGCCCCTGGCGTCTCGAGGCCCAATCGACATCTGATGTTGCTGCCGACGTCCCCTACGCTCGGGATCGGCCCTCTCCCGATCGCGTTCAACGGTCTCTTTTGAGCATTACAGCTTCACATAGAGAGACCACTGCGAAAGTAAACATACCTAGTCTTTTTTGTCTTTTCATTCTATATGTCTGACTACGGTTGTGAACCAGCTGGAGTCGTCGGCTAAGGTCATAGAAATCTTAAAATTATTTGGTACCTAATTAATATAAATAAAATCTTAATCTAAAGAGATCAATACTTAAAAAAAAGATTAAGAGAAACATTCTAAATCTGTGTTTGATGCAGACTCCGCTATGTACCGCAATATAAATTCCTACGTTCACGGATAGTTTCAGAGAGTACGGTACAGAACTCATTGGCGCAAATAACAGTAACGTCGATGAAGCGTGCTGTGTCGATGAGCTGACAACAGACGTAGTAATGTTATTAAAAAATCGATAAATTCTGTTTTATCAATATTTTTAAATATTTAGGCAATATATGTATTTGTTACCCGCTAGTTTCAGATGCAATACAAAGGGCTTAAGTATAATGTCTAATTATATTGCGAATTAACGATCCGAAAGATGTTATTCTACTAGAACGAAAAAAAGAATCCTGCAAATTCAAATAAAAAATAAAAATTATAACGAGCTCAAAAACAGACATATGACTATATACATATATGTAAAGATATACAGGTTTACTACTACAGGACTTTACACCTAGAGGGCGCCGGCATTTCCTAAGACTCGCTTTGGGAAGACACAAACCACAGAGGTGTCTTTTTTTAAGGCCGTGTACAACTTTAACGAGAACTATGTGAGTGCAGTATAGGGTCTGGGTTGGCCTTTAGAAGAAATGACCATAGTATTGAGTCGGCTACAGACTTCCATTAGTAGTATCTAACTCCTCAGATATAAGGATGTTCTGAAGCGTCATATGAAAAGATGCAATATAGAGCCCTTTCGCTGGGAGACTTTGGCAGCACAGCGACTGGAATGGCGCGAGATTACGAAGAAGCGAATCGGCGAATTTGAAGAACAACGTTTAGCTGACCTCGATGCCAAGCGCGATGAGCTCAAAGCCCGTCCACTCGCCGCCATCCACTATAATTATGAGAGCGGCAAGCTCACCTGCCCACTCTGTGCAAGGGAGTTTGCTGCGAAAATCGGCTATATAAGCCATCTCCGGGCGCATCAGCGCCAGGTCCTTTAAGGGGTCGAAGCGGTCGCCATGGCCGTAATCGGTCGGATTACATCATCATCATCATCAGTATCTACATTGCACCCGTGCTAAGCCGGGGCAGATCGCTAGTAAATGTATAATTAAGCACAAGCGCTAATTACCGCAAAGTCCGAACTTACCACTGTATTATACTTACTTAAGTATTTTAAATATTATTATGTCGTGTAAAAAAAAAAAAATTTTTTATCGATATCGCCACCATACCATACAGCACATCTCTAACCGTCCCGTTGGCCGGACAGAACACAAATTGCTCCATATCACGGTAAAGTAGATTACTGCCGGTCCACAGTTACACTTATTACTTACAATGTTGCAATGTACAGACAATAGATTAGTTGAGTAGACAATAATAGATTCTGAGCATCATTGCCGGAGGTCAAGGTTTGAGGCGACTACAATGCCCGAACTACTTTATAAAAAAAAACGAGCGAATCTTATTTTTACCCGCGGCTACGCTTGCGTGTATGTCGGTTATCTCGGTAAAAATAGCCTATGTTACTCGCTGATAATGTAGCTTCCTATTGGTGAAATAACTTTTAAAATCGGTTTACTGGTTTAGACGTGAAAACTTAACAAACAAACTCACTTTGACATTTATAATATACTAGCTTTTGCGCGCGGCTCCGCTCGCGTATAAAGGTAAAAGTTGCCTTTTTTACTCGCTGATAATATAGATTTCCATTGTTGAAAGAATTTTTAAAATCGGTTTACTGGTTTAGGCGCGAAAGTGTAACAAACAAACAAACTCACTTTCACATATATCCATACTTATATCATAAATGTGAAAGTGTGTTTGTTTGTTTGTTTGTTAAATGCACGCGGGCGGAGTCGCTGGCAAAGTAACATATAAGTATAGATGTGACATATGATGTGTAACATCTGATATGTAGCACAGATACGACCTTCAAACCTTTAAGAAAAGAACGTACTCTTTCCTAAAAGGCCGGCAACGCGTTTGTGGCTCCTGAGTTGCAGACGTTCATGGGCGGCGATAGTCACTTTCCATTAGGCTGCTCGTCTACCCCCTCTAACATTAAGAAAAAACCGTGCGAAGCCGAGGCAGCTCGCTAGTATATTATAACAATGATGCCAAAACACCTGAGTTCAAATAATGTAGAACTAAAATTGCCTCTTAAGTATTGATATAAAAATATAACAATAATCTAAATATTCAAAAGCAAACAACATTCGTGACACATATTAAACAAATTTGGAAGCGAATGTGATATCATTTAGAATACTTAATGTACTTAAATAAGTACTCGTAAAAGGGGTGCAGAATATTGAAAAAAAATTTAAACATGTATATAATAATAAAGTAAGAAATATTTACTATTTATGTATATATCATCGTCATCATCATCATCAGCCTATCGCAGTTCACTGCTGGGCATACGCCTCTCCTATTAAGTATATTTAAATATGTATTGGTGATGACACTGATGCACGGAAATCTCAAATGAGTTTATGCGGCATCTTACTGTTTAAACTGTGTACTTTATTTTATAACAATAAATTAAAAAATAATTAAAAAAATGGTCACCTAAAACTTAGGGTTAGAACGGCAAAAGTTCCGTTTACCTTTCAAAACCTACTCGGAGAAAGGTTATGATTCCCAAGATTAGACGAACTATGTACAGATTTGTTCGGAACCCTCAGTCGCATGTAGATTCGAGCTTGTTACACAGTCCTTTTTTTTTACTTGGAAATGGGTCAAGATAAACAATAAGATTTGTATGTACTACATTAATCCTTTTACATGTCTAAATGGTTAATAGTATGGCTGGACATAAATTAATATTAATCAATCATTACGTTGTAATAGGGTTGTCACTTCCAAAAATATAGTGTAATAGAGACTTTAATTTCGTGCTTTCGATCGTATTTCAGTTCCCAAAAGTATGTGTAAAATGTAATACTTTATATTTCTTCAAATTTGAAATTTGACTGACGTGACTAATATTTTTTAATTGATGAATTTGTAATCCGTGTACCGGGATTATCTTGGAAAACTTAAGTAACTTTTTGGAGCGTAGATGATGTAAGATAGTCGAAAATAATACACATGTCATTTGAGTAACATAATTACATCTGGCATTTTACATGAAACTGTTAACAGTCTTTTTATATTTATTTTGGAACTTTTTCTTCTTTAGTGCACCTATCACTCATTTCTACACCACCCCAAGGTAAACTGGCAAGAAAATGACATAAAGTCCATCTCCGTACATTTTTTTAAAAACAAACATAAAAAATGTGAATAAATGTAAAAAAAGTGTAAATATAAATAACAAATCGTTTCAAAGACGTATTCTTTTATGTGACAGTGCAATAATATTTTAATGATAGTAACTATTCGTAACAACCCTAGCCGAATGTCGTGCATTTATTGCTACATATTCATACGTCATGACTCACCTATTTGCCTACATACCTAGCCTTACAAATGAGATTATAGTCATATAATAAATATATACTTTGAAGTGTGACAAGTAGACCAATAAAAACTAGCTGACCCGGCAAACATTTTTTTGGCATATACATTATTTCAAAAAAATGTAAAAAAAAAATAGGGGTATGAAAAATAGATGTTGGCCGATTCTCAGACCTACCCGATATGCCGCCGTTTTGGAGGAGTTCTACCTACCTGTCCCACCGTGACACGAGAATTTTATATATTAGATTATTTAAGGTTCACCCTACATCATTTGTATATCTACCAAGATTTCCCATTATACGGCAAATAATTAAAGATCTTCACATACCAAGTGGCCGAACATTTATGTTTGAAAAATTGTGCATGTGGAATATACCAATGGACAAGAGAACTTCAATTGTGCGATACAGAATTAGTAGGAACTGCACAGTTCGATTTGTTTTCTCTAGATGACGCGGAAGTCGTTATTTCTATGTGTAGGTGTCACCGTAGTTTATTTTAGTGTTTCGTTTTTCAAAATAAAAAAATAACAATAATCTGTGATTTAAAAATAAAAATGATACTTTCGACTGGTCTTGAGAGATCAAGAGATACATTTAAAAAGTATATTCATTTGATCACAACAATATTTCATAGAAAGTAAGTAAACAGTAGTTTTTAATCCACAAAAAAAGTTTTTAGTTAGTAACTACTTGTTTTTACAAAGAAAAATAAATACAAGCTATAAATAATATATTTACAAACAAACCGCGTTTCTGAGTCATCAACTCATCGACAAATACGAAAAAGCATACCTGTGCTTCTAACATGGAGGATTATATTTCAGTTTTAAATTCGAAACACCACCAACCCTCAAATATGGTTTCAATAATCGTATTGGCGGGTGTAGTAACGACAAAACACGAGGGCATACTGCAAAACTATGCCGATTTAAAGCAAAATAAACAAACCGAAGCATCAACAAATTATAACTTTCAGTAACAAACTATATCCGGCTCAATTACACTATAGTTGATTCAACATAATTAAAATTGTATTTAAACGGATAAAGTTACCCGAAATATCCCAGCTTTTAAACAAAAAGCTCGGCGTAGCTGCGTGTCTTTTTGAAAAAAATAAAATTATACGTGACACATTTAGAAGCAAACATGGGGTGTGCCATCTTGTGCCTTGTACCGTTACGGTACTCATTGTGGTGGTAGAAACCATGATGGATTAACATATTTAAATAAATTCTAGAGTTGTTACATTAATTTAAAACTTCATGGTGGCTATATACGCTCAAATGCCCGTTCGAAATAGTGATAGAATGAAATGAAGAATGTTATTAGTCATAGAGAATCACAGGCCACCGGCGGATATTAGTAGATAGACTTACGAAATTCTACTTTAGTTTATGGCAGTAAGAAGTAACGTGCTATAAAAATAAAGAAAATACCTTTGAAAAATTATAAGATATGTCATAATGATCTCGAAGTTTCCTTAATACTACTGGCATCTGTTTTAAAGTATACAAAAAACAATAAACTGGTCTGATTTTCTTCTTACTGTATTAATTTCCAATGTGTCTATTATTTTGTTTTCTAGTTAACCACGCCAAGTCCACTCAAATAGATTTCTGACGAAAAAGAAATTCATTACATAATTTACATAGTTTTTGTTTTTATATTGGAATTACCTTAGGAAGTGTATAAAAATCAATAACCTATTAATCACAAATTATATTTAAACAATGTAAATTTATAAATTAAATACACATAAGTGAAACGGAATGTTTCAAATTACGTCAACAAAATAACCATTTATGTTTTACTTAGAATTTAAGGTGTCTTTTATTTCTCTCAGTATGTTTGTATTCTGATTTCTTAACTTTTACTTTCATTTACAGTAAGTATTCAATGTTTCGTGTTTTGTGTGCTTGTTCATGCTTCAAGTCTCCTAACAATCATCTATCTTTTGTTTTACCTACTATTTTAAATGCTTAGAAGTAATTGCCCTATTATTTTTTCCATATACATATTAATAATGTTATTTTATTCTCAAGACCAGAAACGGCACAGTAAAATAATGACCGAAAACCGCCAATGAGATTTTAACCTTAACACTATTAATAATGAACTGTAACTATTAAACATAAGGTTTGTTTTTGACTGTTCCAAAACTAAAAAAAAATTCTTTAAATTCATAAAAGAAAGTTTATTCTAGAGGCGAAGGTATATTAATGTTGCTTGTTCATTTATCATGAAAACGTGGCCTCATTGCAGCTTCTTAGGAACATTTAAAGGTTTTTTGCAACAAGTATCTGACATATTTTGTTTCTTTACAGCGATCTCCCGGATGAAGAAGACAAGAAATCGCCCGTTCTACTCTTAGGCGTCAACAAGATATCTGACTCCCCGTCGTTTATCCGCCGGCGATCTATTGAGCCCCATAGTTCTGGGTCCATACGTTTTTTTAGACCCCCAAAATCTAAATATATAAGAGGTCTCCATGGCGATGAAAGATTGGAAAAGATCAGACAAGATCTCCTAGTACACAAAAGTAAGCCTGACAGGTACATTCCCAACGATCATGAAGTTTCTTTGGAGCCTGAAGAGGTATGTTCAAAATTAAATTGTGTTGGAAGCTGTATTTGTGACAGAAAACATAGCTCGACTAGGGGATCCTTCTCTTTTCAGCGGTCGGAACCCTTGACGAATAGAGAGGAAGAAGCAAAAGACTTTTCTGAAAACGAAATTGAGTTTAAATACACAGAACACATTCCTCATCCTCAACCCTCCAGTAGTAAACAAAGTTATAATATTACTCCGAAATCGACTGAACGCAGGCATTTTTTACTATCAAATCTCAATGAAAGATTCCGGAAAACATTGAGCTTAGATTCTCGAAAAATAGAAACTAATCGTGTTCCACTAAGCCTCCCAAAAGAACCCAGGCCTAAATCTTTAGTGAACACAAGCAATATTTGTGTGCAATATAAATCAGGCGATCCATTCGTCGCTACAAATTGTAACAAAGCTAGTCAACCAAAGAAGAAACGGAAGTCTTTTTTCTCGCTTGAAACATTTTTTGACTCCAAAAAGTCTGATACTTCGTCAATAGACGATTATTGCTCATCTAAATATAAGCGTTTTGAGCTCGAAAGTGATGAATCACCTCTATTTAAGAGAGAAAATAAAGAAGAAAAGACACCGGACCTCCTAAATTTACCTGTTATCATAGATTCAGTTAGGAAAAAGCAATCCGATACTAGAAGACAATTGGAAAAGTTAGAAAATCATTATTATAAGAATATTCATAAACCTCAAACAGTTATAGACGCCGTCCCTAAAGACGCTACTGACGTACAAGGAACGAGCGGACATACCAACCATTTATACTTTGATGAAGACGTTGAATACATAGAGCCAATAAGAAGTACATTCACCAGTCAAAGCACATTGATACTTGACAAAAAATCCACTGAGGATCTGAAACCTGATTCGATTTTGACCATCAACACTGATGAAACTGATATTCGTCTACCAAGTTCCACTGTGTCCCCTAAATCGAATGTCGAAGACTTTGACAGCATAGGAGCGTATGAAATCGAAGTAAAGGAGTCAGATCTGGTTAAGGCTGCGAAAGAATTGACAGTCAAGGTGATGGATAAATCAGTTGATTCAATCGGCAGTTGTTCGCTAGATGTCGACGCGAGCACAGACTTTTCAGGTAATACCGTGTTGTAAATGTGTTACGCTTGTCAATGTTGTGTAGTGCTAGTGGATTTAGAAAATTTCAATATTAGTTATTTAAATAATAATATGTATCCCAGAATCATTGTAATACTTTTTAACTGACTTGTTTGTTTCGCTGAAGTTGGTCTTAAATTTAGGTGTTATTATACACTCGATTATAATAATTTGTTTTGAACTGCGAACTTATTATTGAAAATTTATTAAAGTTTGATGACATATCATTTGTATTTACACTAATATTTTAAATTCCGAATTTGAATACCACATTCGTTTAACATACATATTGCACTTTTCTGAATCCACGTATTGTGTATGCGATGAGCATGAGTTGTTATTTTTTCTTTTACATTAGTTACTCTATATTGTATTTATTTCTAAGTTCATTATAAAACTACTTATATTTTGTGTATTTATTAATAGCCATAAAATATTCAGTTTCTAGAATTCATATTCTCCCTCATTAAATGTCTCATTGTACAGCTGTTTTAAAATAAAAAGACTAGTGTTGCCTGTTAAAAATAGACATTGCAAATAATGTTGTTTAATTCCTAATTTTACTTATTGTTATTAATTTTCTTTTTATTTTAAAAACTAGTTTTGCGTATTGCTTTTCAAATAAATATTTATCATTATTTGTGTTCTGTGTTTTCTTTATACCTTTTCTATGTCGTGATAGTGTATGTGTATGCCACTGTTTTGTCTATCAAGTATTTAAATATAAAAAATGCTTGCTTTAGAAAGAATGAAAGTCCGCCAGTCTGTTCGATAACCCTCATGAATATTACAGAAAGATTGAATACTATTTTGTTGTATTATGACGGTTCAAATTTAATAATAATATGTTATTTCTTATTATGTACTCATATTGTATTCAGATGGTTAATGATGTATGTACATGCCAATCCTGCTAGCATATTATGTTTAAGACTATACTTTAATGGGTAGTTTTCTAATAATTATTGACATTATTTTTCTTATCCTTTTTGTCTCAGCTTATTTTTGCATCAACAGCTTACTAGTTTACTAACGAGTTTACTTTGTGGTATAAAAATGGTATATTTTATTTTTTCTGTTTCATCTGTTACTAGCGTGTTTTTTATTACTCTGCAAACTCAATCCAAATAACTCTACTTGAAAATGACCTCACAACATATATAATTTAGTCCATAATATAACCCAAAGATTATATTTTTATAAATTCTGTAAATCTAGGCCTTGTGTAGTATTCGCAAACAATACTTATTGCAAAATGCAACTCCCAAACCAAAAGACAATCGCATGCTCATACCTACTGTAGGTACCAATATGGATAATCTATGTATCGACCTCGTTTACTACCTACGCAGTTCTAACAAGATCGGTCATTGCCGTCATATTGCTTATGAAAACGCACCTACCTAAACGACTCACCTCAGAAAAACTATTTCGCAAAATTTTAACAACAGTCTTTGAACGACTTGTGAGTCCAGAACTCGCCGACCGTGAAACGGAACGGTACGGACTGGCCGCAAACGGGTGCGTCGCCGACTCGAGGATAAAAAAAAATAAAAACGTTGACATTTCTTTGTGACTGGTGTCATGTTGTTGTAAAATAGATTATTGAAAAATTGTTTGAGGTGTTTTAAAAATATGTTGGTGCAAATTGATTATTTTAATGTTTTAAATATTGTGTAATAAAGTTTATGTGTGATAATAACTTACGGTAAGTGTTTTAAACTTGTCCTTCAATGTCAGAAACATGCGAATTATATTCCTTTTTACCGTACTTTTTTTGACATAAATCATAAAAAAATGTACATAAAAGTAAATTAAAAAAACTGTTTCGACCGTTTGTCTGGTACTGCAATGACGTAGTAGTTTTTAGATTTTACCGTATAGTAGATGAGTAATCAGATTATTTTTATTAGTTCACGGTAGAAGCGAATCATGTTCGTACTCTTTTTACAAAAGCATGACTGTGCTTTTATAATTAAATACAGGATTTAATGACCATAAACAATATATATTTTTTATTAACAACTTTGTGCAGTGACAGCATTCATGCATGATTTTTTTTTTCATGTAAAGGCAGCAACATTTACTTGGCTATGAATTTCAATATTTAATTAAATTAATTGTACATACTAAACGTTCTGTAAAAATTGTTTTACCTTGTATTGACATCCATTCCATACAGTGTGATGTAAAACGAGATGTTACATTTACAACATTATCTCTACATCAGCCATATTATCACTGTACTACTAAATTTCATATGAAATTGATAAGTACACAGTATCTATTGATAATCCTACAATAACAATTATTTATTGATTATTACATCATAGGTAGATAATATTAATCCTAAGCATTTACAGAGTATGATATAATTTTTTAACGTAAAGGACCAAAGAATGAAAACAAATATTAGGTTTAAGAAAATAAAACTAAATTATAATCTAAATTTAATCTTGAAAAACTGTAAGTTTTTTTAATTAATGTGGAATAGAAACTTGTTCTCCAAGTTGTTGTTCATTTTACTGTAACTCAAATTCAATCTTTATGTTATAAAATTTATAACCGATAATAACATTTTAGATCAGCACCTTACTTACTTTGTTTTACACCTTACTTTGTTAAATGTAAAATTAATAAAAATATATTTAAATCGGACCAGCCTGTGGTGTCAATCTATATAACCACCTGATTCTGAAACGAATTTAGGAGTAAATTACAAAAATACGGAATCAAGCATTATGACTATTCGGAACTATTACAGTTTGACTTACATGAATAAATATACTATTTGTTTACTATCCTGTAAATTGATATTATATATATGAATAAAATTATATCTGTTTCAGAAATTATTTTAGTGCTGGAAATAATTTTATATCTGTATGTAATTGTTCCATGGATGTAAAATAGGAAAATACAGATAATTAATGATATTCGTATCCATTTCAATCCAATGTTAGTGGCGTAGTAAAAAGTAAAAACACAAAAAAGGCAACCTTACAAGAGATAGAAAAAAGAGAGAGAAAAATTATAAAAATTGAATCATATTAGAAGAAAAAGAACTTCATACATAAAACGAACTTTGAACATAATAATCTGTCGTAACATGTGTTATTTGATTTAGGCTATACCCAAAATATTCAAAACTTTCATACAAAAGAATTGATTTGAGAAGATAATTAACTCGGTTCCAATAGTTTTGGTTATGGACCTCCATAACAGCTCTTTAAATGATTTTAGTGATGCATGACCTCGTTGAAGTTACGTGGATTGCTGTCTTAATAAGCGATTGTAACATTGTTGATGTCATTTATATATTCACTGCTTTTCTTGACCTTCACTGGTCTATTCTCATTCACTAATAAGTCCTTGCTTCTTACAGGTTTCACTTATTATTAACAAATGAGTATCTATTGTCATATATTAAATATAAATTCTATCATTCATAAAATTAAACTATGCAGGACTGCAAAGAGAAGGAAAACTTGAAACAAACTCAATACCAACCCGTCTGGCCAGAGTGGTAAAGTAGGCCAAACCCTCCTTTCTAAGGAGAGGCCTTAGTCCAGCAGTGGACTAGTAAAGGCTGTTGATTGATGTCTAACTATCTTGGCTGTCTTAACTACTATTGTTATAAAAAGTTGGTTTGTTTATTTGTTACACTTTAATGTCTTAACTACTGAACTGATTAGCATGAAATATTGTGACAAGGATCAGAAATCTTTTACTTTTTTACTTTTTTAATTCAGTTTCTCCTTATTATATTTTGCCCTTTCAAAAGCATTAAGGTGTCTCTGAATTAGAGGAGAACAAAACCAACCTATTATGTATCTATGGTCCAAGAGGTAGTCAAATCTGGAAGGACCTTGGTGATTTAACAATGGCAGGTTCATTCATTAGATGTAGAATTTGTATGAAAATTTGTATGTAGAGATTTTTGTATGAAAAATATTATTTAAGGACAATAGGCACAGAATATGTAGTTTAGGAATATTGTAGGAAAATAGGCACAGAAAAAAACCATTGCTTATGTGACTAGCCTAGCTAGAAGTATGTCTCTGGGATTAGCCACAGTGACAAAAATAAAATCCTCTTTTCGTTACTGCCACTTGTTAATTTTCTAGAATAAAACTGTTTAAGGTGAAACACGAATCATCAACAGCCTTTAATAGTCCACTGCTGTACATAAGCCTCTTCTTGGAAAGGAGTTTTTGGCCTACTTTACCACGCTGGCCAGCCGGGTTGGTATAGGGTTTGTGTCAAGTTTTCCTTCTCTCTGCAGTGCTGTTGTTCTGCGTAGTTTTCTCCCTTAGTCGTCTCTTACGACACCCACGGTATGAATAGGCGTGGTGACACTCTGTATTCTTAATCCGTCTCCACACAGACGTGAACACCAATGCAGTTATTTCTCTGTGATTGATAATTAATAAGGATATCAATAAGATCAGTAGGCATATGTATAATTTATTTTATAAGCAAGGTTATCCTTGATTTACAATTATAATAGGATTTATTGAAAATTCTCGTTTCCTCATTTGACCCATGACATTTGCCACTATTGTCAAAGTTGACTAAAGAACTGACAATACAATAAAGTATTGAAAGAAATCCACTTTTGATTTAAACATATTGACGTAATTGTTTTTAATAAATATAATCTATAAAAATAAAGAAACCTTCAGACAAAAAAAAATGCATTTTATCTGTGCCCAGACCGGACGTATTTCTCTTTGCAAAGTCAATTAAGCGTGTAGCACTAGTAGAACTCATAGTACCGTGGGCAACGAATGTCCCTAAAGAACATCGTTTAACCAGAAACAGGAACTTTGACTCAACCAACGAAATAACTAAAAATGGTTTTCGTTGCTTTGTGTGCCGTGGAAGTGGGTACGAGGGGTATACAAGCTAAATCCCTCTATAACCTGCTTTAAGACCTTAGATTGCAAGCTATATTCTTGAACGAATATCCAAAGCGGCATTGCTAGGCTCCTATTAAATATAGTTAGGTAGAGGGGTAACAGCAGATAGTGGAAGTGAGCGCTGACGCGTCACAAGGAGTACTCCCTAAACCTACTTTGGGGTCGAAATTACAGGAGCTGTCGCAGTCGCATGTGTTGCACCCTTCTATCACGTGACGGACCCGACAACCGCACGGTGAATCCATGGAACGCTAAGAAATAGGTCCATCCCGGGTCTAATTCTCAAGAAAATTAGACCCGGTGTAGACCTTGTTCTACTAGACACACCCTAAAAATTTCATCATAATTAGTCTAGTGATTTAAAGGAGTTCAGTGACATAGACACATACATAAAAATTATATTAAGGTACTACCATAGTAGTTTCTACGTCAGTTCCTTTTAATAGCTACCAGTATATAGCAGTATCGGCATTAAAGCATGTAGTTCTAATTGAGATTTTCTTTTCGTTTCACAGAACTGCACGGTTGCGAAACTCTTGCTAATACACTCATTAACCCCTTTCTAAACAAACACCAGCCTGTTACCCTTTTGTCTTTGTTCGGACATCAACTTTGTCTAGACGTGTGGCTGCAAATACAATGGATCCCGTCTTTTCGCGTGTAACTTTAACTAAAACATTATCTCGCTAATGAAATGCTAATATCTCCATATTGGATTTCTTTCTACGAGAAATGCACTTTGGCTTTTTTATTTCAAGCAAAGAGTTTTATTGCAACTCCAGTAAAGAAATACAAAAGAAGTTCTGAAAAACCAACGTAAAATTTTTCTCGTCACACGACTATAAACGAGTTATTCTTATAAAAGGAATTAATAGAATAATTATTATTCACAATAAATAAATATAGTGAAACACTTTGTGTCCTAACATCTCCATTAGAATTTTCCAGTTTCTTTAAATTCTTGATTTCGTCCGTTAATTTTGGCCACTTCGCTATTAATATGCTCTTCAGAAATAATATTACGATTTCCTGATTATCATACTTATAGTATTAAGTTAAAAAATAACACAGAGAATGTCAATAGGATGTCACCACTTTGGTAGTTACATTTCGACCCTGTCCTAGTGGCTTCCAATTGCAGGATCCGTCCTGCGATTCCGTCCTCGATCATGACTACTGTAGGCCGGTGTACATTTGCCGGAGTGTCAAGATAATACCGAGATCTTTCAGTGGTTGGACGACAGGTTAAGAAATACTAGCCTGATCTTATTTGACTGTCTGTGTAGAAATCTAACGTTATCTATGGCAATTTTAAGATTGGTTCCAAACGATTCTAAATGATTGTCCAATCATACATTTTCACACTTATGACATTCTTATTTGAAAGAGGTTGTGTCGCGTGTGGTTTGTGAAACCTTGAGAATTTTACTTCTATATTTTATTTGGAAAATTCGTTAACATGTTTAACAGAGCGATGAGCTTATGAATTTATGTATGAAGAGTTTATTCAGATGCCCGATTACCTTGAAACGAGATGCTTAGACTAACTGGTTTCGCGTAGTCCGTGATTTCATTAGACAATGTAACCCTCTTTTATTACCTATCGACAAAATATTTTGTACGAGTTTCTCTGTAACTACATTCAAGAGCAATTTATCTGGGCACGGAAAGATACCTGAAAATCTCGGAAACCAAAAATTATAGCTTAGTGAAATAAACTGTGTTTAATTATATATTATCTAATACAAAGAGAATAAATCTCACTGATAGTTTCAGAGATTATCGTGTCTAAACAAAAAAGCAAAAATTCTTAGCTTATGATATATTAGTTTAAGTATGAATTTATTTACAAATCCGTGTGGTTACGGATTAAGAATACGGAAAATCACCACCCCTATTCATCCCGTGGGTGTCGTAAGAGCGGACTAAGGGAGCAAACTACGCAGGACAACAGCACTGCTAAGAGAAGGAAAACTTGAAACAACCCTTTTTTTTTTTTTTTTTTTTTTTTTTTACGTGTGGAAATCCCCTCGGACCGTCACCCCGCCGGGGCTCTCGTTCGGCGGGGCGGTGTGTCGGACTCGAACCGACTAAAACCACACGGTGTGCCCTCTTTGCGCTTCCAGTGTAGGAGGGGTCCAGGTAGTTATCGCCTTCTGGACCCCTCCCAGCGCCGGCCCGCTCCTGTTGCGGGCCCCGTCTCTGATCTTTCCTCTCTTTAGGCGACGTCCGGCACACGCGGACGCCGCCCCCTCGCGGCTGGCCAACTAATGCGGGTGGAGGGGAGAACCCATCCCGTCCACCCGCGGCCACACTCAGGGCGGCATGAGGCGCAGGTAAGCGCGCCTCCGCCGCCCGGTTCGCCGGCGGCTGATCAGGTCCGAGTGGAGGTCGTCCTCCCGGGCCTTCTAGGCCGCCTCCTTCTGCGAGATTACCTCCTCGCAGAAGGTTGCGACCGCGGTAAAACAACTGTCGCTACCGGCCATGGAGCGAATTACGGCCGGTAGCGAGAGATCTGCTCCGATGACTGCAGTAAGGGCCCGGCGCTGCGTCGCCCATGCGGGGCAAACCGCCAGCGTGTGCTGGGCCGAATCCTCACTGCAGTCGCAGTGGTGGCAGGCAGGACTCGATTCCCTCCTAGCGACCGAGTACAGGTACTTTCCGAAGCAACCGTGCCCGGAAAGCACCTGCGTCAGCCGGAAGGAAAGGGTCCCGTGCTGCCGCCCTGCCCACTCGGCGATGACCGGCTGGAGAGCCTCCACGGCGGCGAAGCCAGCGCGTGGAGTCTCCAGCCGGAACGACCATCTCACCATGGTGGCTCGGCGAGCGGCTTCGCGCCACTCGCGCACGTCTTCGGGCGGAGGGCGAAATCCGCTCTCCGCCCGGAAGTCAGCCACTCGCCGATAAACTTCGGCGAGCACCTCCGACTCCAAATCCCACGGGGGTGTTCCGGCCAAGGCGCAAGCCGCCTCGGTGGACACCGTGCGGTATCCGCGTATGGCTCTGACCGCCAATATCCTCTGGGGGCGCCAGAGGCGCGCCCTATTCGGGGCGGTCAGAGCCGCCACCCACACCGGTGCACCATAAAGCGCCATGGACCGGACAACCCCCGCGTACAGCCGTCTCGTGGGAACACTGGCCCCGCCCAAATTGGGCAAAAGTCGCCCTAGGGCGGAGGCAGTGCTCACCAGCTTCGGACCAAGCTGTCGGAAGTGCTCGTCGAAGAGCCACCTACCGTCTAGGACCAGACCCAGGTACCTCATCTGGGCCCGGACCGGTACGAGGACCGAGCCGACCTCGATTGAGGCGCCGGCGGGCGGACCACGACGGGGCCCATGAAATAATAGGGCCTCCGTCTTATCCAGGGCCACCCGCAAACCCAACGCCTCAATGCGCCCGACCACCAGGGAAACTCCCGTGGCGGCCAGGCGCGCCGCCTCCTGGAAGTTAGCCCCCCGGGCCGTGAGCAAGGTGTCATCCGCGTAGCAGATTACACCCAGCCCGGGGGGGAGACGCCCTCGTAGGGCCCAGTCGTACCCGATGTTCCACAGGAGAGGTCCTAGGACAGACCCCTGCGGAACACCGCACGACATGGCCCTGCGTCTCAAGACGCCATCTCGGTCCTCGTACATGACGGTTCGCTCCTCAAGATAGTCTGCCACCAGCCGCCTCAGGTACTCCGGCACTCCGTGGTAGCGGAGCGCTTCCCTGATGCAGCTGAATGGCAGACTATTGAAGGCGTTGGCGATGTCCAAGGACACCGCCAACACCACTCCGCCGCAGCTCACGGCCTCCTCGGTCACGGCCCTAAGGCGCATTACGGCATCGATCGTCGAACGCCCCTCTCGGAAACCGAATTGGGCGTCCGACAGATCGGGGCCAACCTCGCAAAGGTGCCGGACGATGCGGGCAGAGAGCACCCTCTCAAAAACTTGAAACAACCCTATATCAACCCGTCTAGCCAGCGTGGTATAGTAGGCCAAAACCTCCTTTCTAAGGTGAGGCCCATGTCCAGCAGTGGACTATTATAGGCTGTTGATGATGATGATGATGAATTTATTTAAAAATGTATATCTTCACAATTATTCATACACAGACAGACAGTATAAAATATGCAGGATGTACAAATCGTTTGATCTTTAAATGTTTCATCAACACGTAATATAGTAAACATTGCATACATACCTACATCATATGTATAACAAATGTTTCTGCAATACATTGAGAAATAAACAAACACACAAAGAAATTGTTTGTATTTGACTCATAATGTTGTAGGCCAGTGTAGGTGTATGGTATTGCATCCGTCACATTTTCAATAATGCTTTGATTCTGTATTGAACGGCCTTCGTTGGACCGGATCCGTTGCAATATTTTTGAGTTCTTAATAAAAAAAAAAAAACAAGGCGTTGCGTTGGTTAGTTTGTTAGTGTAATAGGGATGTGTTTAGGGGTAAGTGGTTTTCTTTTCTCTTCTCAACTTCTCTCTACTTTATTACGGTCGGTAGTTTTTCATCCTTGGTGAAATTTGCTCGCGGGGACGTGAATTCTTGGGCCTGTGTGCTTGTTTACCTGCTTGACCTTTTAAATAATTATTAATTGGAAAAAATATTAATTAGTAGAATTTAAATCAAGCATGAAACGAAGTCTAACGTACTTGATTTGGATTTCCCATTATATTTCCGATTGAAAATTAATCTGATTGCACGCTTGATAAACGCTGCCTAGATATATTAAAGAAAAAGCTATTTATTAAAAAAAAACCGAATGAAACCGTGAAAATGTTAACTCAAAATTCACAAACCGGTGATTTAAATTTTTATAAGTTTCATATACCAGTGTAGTACTATACAGTAGTATAGTGTCACTCTTACAAAAGCCGAATCTGACGACATCTCAAACGCCAAAATTCATCAAGCCGCTTAGGCTACAGAGCATGGCAGAGAGATTCACATGGTATACATAGGTTATCAGGTAATACACCCAGGATTCAGTCATACGGATAACTGATATGTATCTTTATTTGGTGTCATATAATGCGTATCTTATATACTGATCCGTAAATTTGCGTCATCACAATATGAAGAGCAAAATTAAACTGGCTTTTATCTGTTACCTTCACTCGAGCACGGACGGACTGATACCATTTGATAACGTGATATCGACCTACCATGCTGTTGGGTAATTAGTTTTTTATATTTTTTTTACCATTGAAGCATGAAAATTACGCAATGTGTGACTATTTTATAATTTTTCAATGCTGTGAGTCATTTTTTTATTATATATACGTTTTTTTTATGATCTTTCAACGAAGGTGGTTATTAACTAGCCCGCAAGGGTAATCTTGTGTATCGATAAGATGCTAGATCTTCATATTGATGTAATCAAAGTCATATTTACAATGTTTTTTGAGAGAATTTCGTCACTTGTAGTGTCAAGTAGTTTTAGTAGTTATTTTATATTAATTCACACAAAAGAAACTTGAATCTATCGATTAAAGTAAGGCTAATGGAGTGAGGTGGTACGATTTAAGTTCAACGACATACAGGCTTCCAAATAAACCAGTAAAAGTTATAAATATAGAAATATTGAAACGACCAAGCCTCTTTACTTACGTCAGTCGCGAGTTGATCCTTGTACTCACAATACTTTGTTACATTTTCAATGAAGTGTAATTTATAAGTGTGAACAAAACGCTGAAACAATTTGTAGTACAATTTGTAGTACCTATTTAATTTGAAATAGGTAGCTGAACAAGTCTTTAACAGTTAAAAACATTCAAATAGCATTTCTTAAAGAGACCATATAATAATTTGAATAGATCAAATAGAAGATTGAAAGTAAGAGGTTTGATGTCTAAGAAGTATTGGTTGCATATATTATATTTACACTTCACTTTCTATTATTTCAGATACCACATCGGGGAGTCTCAACCTCCTCACACCATCCTCCACGACCAGTCGCATTCGGGACTTCACAGCACGCATCCAAGAACGGGCTGCCTCTAATCTTCAGCCTAACTACTTGGCCAGTCCAACTCCAGTAGCAACGCCAGTTCGAACCCCGGAGGACAGCACACCAACACCAAGAAAACCTTCCGAGAATCTCTTAAAACCACCTCCCAAAGTCCATATTGACACGTCCAGTCATAGATCCAGGGGTCATCACAAAAAACGAGACGATCTTTCCCATAAGAAACCCAGTTACTTAAACTTAGCCTGCTCGGTAAATGGTTATACCAACCTTACCACATATGACTCCAAACTGAGACAAGACATAAATAAAAGTAGGGAAGCGTCCCCTATTAGGCCTATAACACATACGTACCAGTACAGAAGCGAAAACAATTCTTTGTTGGTCCCAGTACCAGTCAGTGCCAATAAACTGATCGTCCCAACATTCGGGCCTCATGATACTCGCGCTGATTTGACACAAAAAGCGCCTACCAAGGCGCATACAGACCCTTATCTGGCCACTTCACCCTTTAATGTATATATGGCGGCGGAAAACAAACAACTGAAGAACGACTTCCTTGGCAACATGACGACCACAAGCCGTCCATACATTTCTAGTGAGAGTAAAACTTTCGCCACCTCCATGCTCCATAAGACCGATGAGGTAGACAATTCCAAAGAGATCACCTTTAAATCGAGTTACTCAGAGACGAATTTTAGAAAAACTGTCACATCGAATGGTAAAGAAAGCAGATTCAGTTCTGAATCTTATACTATTTCCTCAAATGGGGTCTCGAAAAGGGTTGAGATAACGAAAGAAAATGGAGAGAAACTCACCAGTCCTATGAAGAGCTTTATCCAGCAAAGGGTGGAACGGTTATACGGTCCTGGAGCTTTAGCGCAAGGTTTCTTTAACCAGAAACGTCATAAGTTTAAGAGTTCCAGTGAGGATGATGAGCCGAAAGTATTGACGGAGAAATCTCTGAACACTCCTGAAAGGATCCCTCGTAAAGTGGAAGAAATTGAGAAGGGTTATACTAGTCCTAATGGAGAAACGGCTGACGTTTCTCTACCAGTTCTTAGGCATTTACGGCCTGAATTTCGAGCACAGCTGACTATTCTATCGCCAAAGAAGAGTGTAAAGAGTGATCTATCACCCCAGAAGGTGGAACAAGACATTCCTGTAGTGGAGAAGACTGAAGTGGTTGTTGATAGTGATGTGTCTGTTACAAATGGTGTTTCTGTGATAAAATTAGACAGTGATGACAGTCAAGAGCCTGTGGTTAGTGTTAACGGTGCTCAGAATGGTGTAAAGGAAGAAGTGAAAGATGGACATTATTTCCTGGATGTAGAGAAGAAGGAGACAGAGAGGTTGTTGGCGTTATCAGCTACTGCTGAAAAGGAATTGGAAGACTTACAAGTGAGTAGAACAAAATCATTGCCTTTTGCACTCATCTTTCAAGGTCTTAATAACTTGGATAAGTTTAATAGACCACTTACGACTACGAAGTCTTCATCGATTGAGGCATAATCTATTGTAACACTACATCGTTAAACTAGAGAATCAATCTGTTCGATATTTAAAAATTTCCTTAACATGGCAATATGTCGTTTGAAAAATGATTTTTTTTAGTAATCCGTTCGCAAAATACATCTAAAACACCATCATCATTGTTGCCCTGCCTTCTCCCAATTCAATTTGGGGTGCAAAATGTAAAATGGCAAAAGGGTAATCACCTCTCTTTGAGTCTGCCTCTAGAAGTTCTGAGTAGTAGTCTGAGGGTAGGGATTTGATCACCTACCTCACACTCAGTAGGTATTCGGTTACCTGTGACAGGTAAATATTTATATCAATTGTGTTTATACGCTTTACCTATCATCTGTTATGTATTTCCTTCCTTCCTCATAACCTTATACTTGGACGTATGATAGTTTCGCACAATTTTAGTTTAAAGAGGAACTTGGCCTAGTGGTTAGCGACCCTGACTGTTAAGCCAGAGAATACTGCCACCCAGGAGAATTATTTTGTGATGAGAACGATAATTCCATGTATTTCTGGGTGTAATTTATCTATACTATGTCACTCATCATATCAATAGCCTTTAATAGTCCACTGCTGGACATAGGCCTCTCCTTCGAAAGGAGGTTTTGGCCTACTATACCACGCTGACGGGTTGGTATAGGGTTTGTTTCAAGTTTTCCTTCCTTTGCAGTTCTGTTGTTATGCGTAGTTTGTTTGCTCCCTCCGTCGGCTCTTACGACACCCTTGGGATAAATAGGGGTGGTGACACTCTGTGTCCGACACCACACGGACTCTATACTATGTATAATAATTTCACACATCTCACACACGGCCATCTGATCCCAAACTAGGCAGAGCCTGTACTATGGTAACCAGACCGCTGATAAACATACTTATATATTTCTAAATACATACATATTATAGATAAATTACACCCAGACACAGAACAAATGATCGTGCTCATCACACAATTATTTGTCCTGGGTGGGAATCGAACCCACGACCTCCGGCTTAGCAGTCAGGGTCACTAACTACTAGACCAACAGGCCCGTCACCACCATGTACCTCTTTAGAGATATATAAGTATTGTTCATTTAGAAATATATGTATCTGGTTGACTGCAATGAGGTTGCCCGCCTATTATGGAAATGGGATTATAATTGTAATCGTCAAATTGTGGACGATTAATACGGCCCTGTCCACCCCTTCAGGAATTAATGTATGTGTGTTTGTATGTAGGAACTTCTAGTAGAAGAACTTCTATTACTAAATTAGTGATTGAACAGTTCTTATTTAACATTAATTTTATACATAAAAAAAATCATCATTTCTCCACCTTAGATGGGCAGAACGACGTTGTTTTATGAAAAGGCTATTATTAAATGTATGGTACTGTTTTTTTTTTTATTTTAAAATATAAATAAAAAAACTTCACCTTTTAACAAATGACTAGGACAAAACTGTACTACAGTCACCTGCGAGTGTTTGTACATTATAGGCACCGGTTTTCACTTATCGTTGAGTAGACCCGGTTTATCTTCACTTTAAAATGAAAAATATATATTTTCGGTTGTTTACTATCAGCATCGGCACGACTTAATGATGACAACATCGTGTTAGGATGCCATTGTATGATCTAAGCACGGAGGAATCCCATTAAGTCTGTCGGCCCTTTAGCGCTCTAATGTCTCGGGAAACCTTTTCGTGTCTTATTTTCGAGTACAGACATGCTTTGTAGGCATGGTATCCAATTGTTTCAAAAGTCCGGATTTCATAATAGCTAAGAATCATAATGTCTATTATTAAAATTCACGAAATTTATTTAACCGAAAATCGTAAACGATGTGTATGTTTTCCGATTTCTATACGTTCGAAGAATCAAATGCTCGATGGGTTCTCGGTCCGAAAAACGACATTCCGCTTTTCAATTCTTCGAATTACCTGCTAAAATTATTATCTCATTCGGTTAGTATAATATTCAGTTACGCATACATATTCAAAAGCTATAAGTAACGTTTGATGTAATTTAAAAACGTACATTGTTATTAATATTTGTTGTATTCTTCTTCTCCTTATATATACCTGCGTCAGGTACCATCTACTGTTATTGAATTCTTTGGGTTAGGTTAGAACTGTGACCATTAAAGCGCGAAGGCGAGCGAGCGGGCCGCAGCAGCGGCCCCCGAGTGCCAGATTCCCTCTATTGTTGGTGAATCATTTAGGTAAAGTTAGTTTAGAACTGTGACCAGTGAAAGAAAATATTTTTATTTTAAGGAAATAGAAAGAATTCGATTTTTTGATGTTTCGAATCATCATATAGTCGGACTTTTTGTTATGTGATGATGATCCATACATATAAAATTATTTGCCCTGACAAACTAGCCTAAATAACTGGGGCTTTAAACTTGAAATTTTGTCAGCTGATGTTATAAGCACCCACTAAGAAAGGTTTTTTGTAAATCAGGTGGTAAAATATCATGGATCTACGCTTGTATGGAAGTTCGTCATTTTTAATTCGTCATTCAAAGTTAGAAACACGAAATAAACACGACATCGAACTCGCGGGCAATAGCTAGTATTTTAATATATATAAATTTATACTCGTATTATAAATATTAACAGTATTCATTCGTAATCATCTAGATATCTTTGTATAATTTATGAGACCAGAAGTGATTTGGTTCAACTGTTATCTGGTTATAAACTTTCATTCAGACAATATTTTAGTTTCAAAAATATTTAAATCTGAAGATTGCCCGACGTTATAAGATTCTCGAGCTCCAAATCTACCTGACCTCACGATACTAGACCTTGTCTGTAACTGGCTCCATTAATTGCTTCGGTTTTGTTTCACAATTAAATTGTCTAGCAAACTAGTTTAACTCCAAATTAGGGTTGACAGTTAATACTTTTAGTATGCAATTTTATAAATCAAATCAAAAATACACGACAATCTAAAAGTTTACGTACAGAATTGATGTTTTGTATTAGTTATTTCAAAGCAAAAAACCCAAATTGATATCATCATCGATATTTCAAATACCAATTAGATATTAAAGCTAGATTACACCGCAATAGGTATGAAATAAAATCGCAATCACATGTGAAATCGCTGTGACTAAAATCAATCATATCGTCAAATTAATATGATTTAAAGTAGCAATAATTTCCATTTCTGCAACGCAAAGATATAGATCAAGTTCTCCGAATCCCAAAATCCTCATCATCAACTCCTTCCTGTTATCCTGTCAATGGTATTTGGAGAAACAGGACTGAGAATACTGTTGCTCAGAGAAGCCGGGATCAACTACCCTCATGTCCTTTCTGGGATTGCAGAGAAGTCTGTTCCCTTATTAACCAATGGCAAATACAAAGCAAACAAGTTTAGCCATTGATATTCGTAAAGCTTAAAACAATTTTAATCTAGCTATAGCTGTAAACGTTACCACTTTAATTAAATATATTTCCTTAGCAGACGCGAAATAAATTCTGTTCCGTTCCGTCGCACGTGCCCACGCGCACCTTAGGCGACCGTACATGGAGCCGCCACTGGTTCTCTACTTCCCTTCTATAATACGGTTTCCGTTACAAAGCCTTTGGATAACTGTAGTACTAGCTGTCTTCCGCGAAGCCGACTCTGTGGTCTTAGTACTTATCATGCCTTTAAATTATATAACATGCACATCTTGTAAGAACTTTTTTAGAGAACAACCTGGTGAGAACCATGGACTATCTTCCTTTTATTGCAAAAAAAATATTTTGGAACTATGTATGCATACTGATATAAATGTAAAAGTGTGTGTTTCTTTGTTGCGCTTTCACGTCTAAACCACTAAACCGATTTAAAAAATTCTTTCACCAATTTCATTGTCAGCGAGTAACATGGTTACATTTTAGCGCGCTAACCGACATACACACGGGTAAATCCGCGGGAAAAAGATAGTTTATAAGTATGGATATAGATGTTAAGTCAGTTTATGTCCGCTTCAGAAACCCAGAGTTCTACACCGATTGAGCTTACATTTAGACGCCATATACAACCTGCTTCGAATATTGTCTTTATCTATTTCGCGCCATTTTTTCTCATTTTCATCAATGCAACCACAACGTGCCACAGATAAACTTATTAGGGTACAGCTAGTTTTTTTAATGTTTTAACTTACTTGAGTATTTTGGGAATGCCCGACAACTTTAGAACCCGCGGGTCGGAGGATCTTTTGAAGGCATGCAGAATTCTTCCTATTATGAATTTTTTGATGTGTTACTATTGAAAAGTTTAATTAAAATCTGTTAAATAAGTTGTCGTCTGCGGTATTTCCGGGCCGATACGACCTTTAAGAAAAGAGCGTACTCCTTCCCCAAAGGCCGTCAACGTGCTTGTGACTACTGAGTTGCAGACGTTCATGGGAGGCGGTAGTTGCTTTCCATCAGGTGAAATAGTTTTTAGTCAAACATACATCCGCCTGTTTTCAATAACTTAAACGTTTTAGTAGTAGGATTCGTTTGTAAGACAGAACTGTATGCGTCATAAATGTTTTTCTCGTTGAGTGCCAACCCTGAGGTATTCGATCCGTAACTAAAACGATAGATAATAATATAATTTGCAAAGGAATCTGGTTGAACTAAACTTAACATGATAAATGTTTTTATATGAGAAAAGGATGACCATTGAAGATGTTTTTCTGGTATATGAGACCTAATAACAGTATTCTATAGTAGTTTTCCTTGCTCGTGTAGTTGTTTATTGCCTTACTAATGGCTACTATCGGCCATTACTACGGCCTTATAGACCCCTATGGTCGAAAGTCAATGTAACACTTTCACAGACCATTTATAGTAGATGGAGTGTCCTACAAAACAACTAAGACAGGCAGAACTCTTCAGAACTCAGACTCCGGTCAAAAAAAGTATTTTAGATGCTACGTCAGATACCATCCACTATTTTTGAATCATTTGGGTTAGGTTAAGTTATTCCGAGGATGTGATGGGGGAGAGAACGCAATACCGCTTCTCTACCCGCAGAACGCGCAACGGGCGCCGGAGGACATTCGTCGATCTCCGACCTTAGGAAATGGCCTGCGGGCGACGATTTTGGGGAATTCGTCGTTCGAACAGAGGCCTCAGAGGAACCTACAGTGTTTCGTGTGCGCTTCTAGAGGATTGCGACCGAAGGGTGACGGTCGCAACGGGTGACGAGACCCGTCTTGGGTGAGACGGGTCAATGCCTGTCAGGGGTGGCGGAAAAATGCAATTGATTCTCGCTCCCCCGGCAATTGGCCAGAAGAGGAACACCGGGTTGATTTTTGGTCGGTAAGAGTCCAACGAACCCCACCGCCAACCCCTAATGGGTTATACAAATATTTGCAGATCACACAAACATTTGGTCCAACGCGGGAATAGAACCCGTGACATAAGCACAGCAGTCGCATTAGCTACCGCTAGACCACCGAGGAACTCATTTTAACAGGTTCTGACTGTAGTATACCTAATACAAAGTGTCATTTTGATATGACGATAAGCAGTAGATTAAAATTCAATAACACCATTTGTTTACATAGTGACAGGTGAAGCTAATACACGCGTATACTTTTTAAAAACAGTACCATGCTACTAAAATGTTTTGAACCAAATGAAAGCCCCAATTTCTCATCAATCACTCCATTTTCTATAAATGTTTATCAAGTTCCATTTTCGTAATTCTTTCTTTCTTTTTTTAAATGACAGCTCCCGCATTAGGAATCTATTCCTGTGTCGCGGGGACTTTACAAACATACAGGAAACGGACACAAAGAATACCGAGACTCAGAACAATAATTTGGGGATCACACAAAGTGTTGTTCCATGCGATGATAGAACCCATAACACAATGCAGTAGGAAGCGGCGAGGTGACCGCTTAAACCACTACGCTATCCGTGCAGTCGAATTAATTAGTAATTACAAATTGTTCAATACTACATTTGTGTAAATACTTTTGTACTCCTTAAAAAGGATTATGAAATTTATGTATACATACACACACATTAAATAATAGTTCATTTACATAATTAATTTTAAATAACACACAACTTAGGAAGGTCATAGTTTAAATAGGAGCCTTGAGACATTATTATCAATGTCAAATGGTAATTTAATTTATATTTTTATAAATTACTTTACTAGCTATTGGTTCGGTCGCGTGATTATGTCCTATTTTGTGTTTCTAATTTTGAAAATGATGAACTTCGATACAACCGTTCATCCCTTATGTTACCCCCTTAGGCGTGAAATTTCCAAAAATTCTTTCTTAGAGGGTGCTTACAACATAAAAAGCATCAGCTGCCAAAAAATAAGTTTGGAGCCCCAGTGGTTTAGTCTCTGCGTTCATAAATTAGTGAGTTATTTAAGGCGAGTAATTTTATATGTATAGATTTTTGAATATTTTTCAACCACATTGGTCTATTTGAGTCTCACTTAGTCTCATCTACACAAGAAAATTGCTTGTGTAATCAAAAAAACTGCTCCACGAGGAATCATTCTAGTACTGCGAGGGACTTTAATACACCAAGGATAACCAAACACCTGTTTCGGAATCGAACTTTACTACTTCCCCATCATTGCACACGGCAAAAATTTCATCCTCATCACCTGGATAGTTGGCGTTCCACTACTGTGCGCTTTTCGAGACACTATTTGCCCCGCACAACCAATCTGTGGAACGGGTTATCGTCTGCAGTATTTGCGGACCGGCACGACCTTCAAATCTTCAAAAAAAGAGCGTATTCCTTCCTAAAAGGCCGGCAATGCGTTTGTGACTCTCATCGGTGGTCACTTTCCATCAGATGACCCGTCTGCTAGTCTGCCCACTCTAACATTAAAAAAAACCTCACTAAGAAATGGTCCGTTCAACCACTGAATCGTCAGTATTAGCGTATTCTTGTTTATCTACTGGTAAGTAGGAACGCTGGACCTCCAGAGCCACAGCGGTGACCGTTTGTCTTCAATACCTTCTGAGGACATGCAATGCAGATATGAAAAGAATTTCTAATTATTTAAAAAACCTTTAAGACCCTAACTTCTTGTCTCGAGGGTAATTATTTCCATGGCGTTGCGTGTTCATAACTCATAACATAAAATTGTTACCTTATAGTTTATTCAGCTCCATAACATTTTCATGTGATATATAGTACATATATTTAATACTAGCTGGTAACCGCGACTTCGCTCGCGTGGTATTTGAAAAGCGCTGCCTTAGTGGTGTAGTACAGTACAAGACTGCAGTTTATGAGGCCTCGGGTTTGATTCCCAGAAGGTTAGATTCCTAAATTATATGCTTATCTCCAAATACATTCGACAATATATATATCTAGAGATTAGATACATCGTCCAATTTCGAAAATTTCAACTATTGGTAGGGGCCAACAGTTGGACCCATAGATATATAAGCATAGAGTGAACAAGAGCCCCAATCTTACTACGAGAGAGATGGATAATAGATAGATCCCTCTATCTCTTCCTAGTCGAGCTCTGTGGTTGGCTGTGTAATATGAGGGGTTAATGAGTAGCCAATCGCAACTAAGCTAAACTCAGACAGAGATAACTATCGAGCATCCATCTCTCTTGTTGCCTGTATCGCTTTCATTTACAAGCAGCTGTACCCCGTGTTCTCTCTAGGGTAATGAACGTTATATATTGCTGAATAGCTTACAGGTGACATTTGGGGCGGTACCTATACTATAGGGATCTTGTGTCAACTAGGGTGAATTTTCGTGCGTTTAGGCGATTCTGCCATACATATTAAAGAAATCATATATAGCTCACTTATGACTAGAGGATTCGATCCCGGTCGATTTTTATAATCCCGGGACTTCGGGATTATCTACAGTTAATCTCGGGATCCCGGGATAGTCCCGGGATTGTATTGGCAATGGAAAGTGGTAACAAAAAGACAGTAAAACATATCAAATTTTTTTTTTGTTTATCATTTAGTTTTGTGAGGACATAGAATATTTAAGTTTTAAATCTCCAAAAAGGCGGTTAACCAAAATTATACTTTCTTCTTATAAAATAAACAAACTAGTGCCTAGTTTGTTTTGTGTTTCGGTAAATAATTTATGAAACTAACAATAGACTTATTTAGATAAACTATAAAAAAAAAAAACTATATGCTTAAGAGACCAATGTTTATAGATTTTACCTACTCATATTTTTTAATAAAATTGCCCAGAAACTTTATAAATTACACACTTTTACGCATAATCCAGAACCGGTCATTAGCAAAAACAAATGAATTCAGCTGTGTAGATAAGATGGCTGTCAAAACATCAAATCAAGGCAAGTGCGTTTCTTTTTACGCACATTTTTATTGACTTATGTAAAAAATGTATCAATCCCGAAAATCCCGGGATTCATTAAATTTGATCCCGAAAATTTCGGGACTAAAATATGACCAGGATCCCGGGATCCCGAGATCCGGGATCCCGGGATCGAATCCTCTACTTATGACCCATAATATTTTATGGTCACTGCCGTTAATCCAGGTGTACAGTCCCATCTCTATGGTTGGACCTTTCCACTGTCGCTGTATGTGTCAGCTGTATTGTCACTGTCGCTGTATGTGTCAGCTGTATTGTCACTGTCACTATAAACGCTCGATTTTCACGCACAACGGCATAATAAAGTGACCTCACACTCACTTACTTAAAAAGATTTAGTCAAATGCTTATAGTCATTCTCAAGCGACTTACGTACCAATTACTAGCAGCTAACTTAAGTAGCATTTAGTAATCCTTTATTTTCTAAAACACATTATCATCAGCCTTTAATAGTCCACTGCTGGACATAGGCCACTCCTTAGAAAGGTTTTGGCCTACTGTACCACTCTGGCTTGAAGAGTTGGTATAAGATTTGTGTCGTTTTCCTTCCCTGTGCAGTGTCGTCGTTCTGCGTAGTTTGCTCCTTTAGTCGGCATTTACGACACCCACGGGATCAATAAGAGTGGTGATTGGTGACATTCCATGTTCTTAACTCGTTACCACACGTAATATTCCCGTATTATTTTCTAAAAAATGCGGGAATATCACGGTACATATTACATTAGGAGCTAATTTTTAAATTTATTAACCTGTCTGTAACTTAGTTGTTATTTTGAGTAACATTTTGTGTTAAAATAATTTCAGAACCGAGAAGATGTTAGCGAGGAGATCCTGGGCCTTCTGCGCGCTGCTTCTGGCAAAGCGAGACTTCTGGCCACGCAGAAGATGCAGCAATTTGAAGGTAAATTCATTTCAATAAAAGCAATTCCATTACTGAGTAATAGTCAATGTTTTAGTGGTCACCTTATGAGGGACGTAATTATTTAAATAAACATCTGAGAAATAACCCAGTTTTAGGATCTGACTGTAATTTCCAAAGCACATAATAACTTTACTTTCTTACTTAAAAAAAACTATTTATTCTGATAATTTAGAGCATCACTAGGACTAAGTTTTATAATACGAATTTATGTAGAAAAGGATCATAAAAATGTTAGAAAGGCAAAATAAGAATATGTAAAAATTACTTAATAAAATGAAATTTATAATAACTCGAAAACGCAACGCACATACGACCGTCTGATCCCAAACTAGGCAGAGTACTAGTCTAGTACTATGGTAATCAGAGTTGTCGCTATTATATAAGTAAATATATTATAAATAAATTCCACCCCTAACAGTACAACTCGTCCCCGTAGTTGGAAAATGAAATAAGTCCGGTTCTGGCGATATTGACTTTTCCCTATTTTCAAAACACCTAAAACATGCCGCATATTTGAGCCTTACAGGCATTTTCGTATCTTATTCCATTCCAAAAATATAGCCATTTTTGTCGGACAGATGGAATAATAAATATCTTCAGACTAACACAATTTTTTTGAAGGAAAAATAAATAACTCGGTAAATAAATCTATAACTATGGTCAATGATAAGTTAAATGGCAAATAAATTAAATAACGTACCTATTTTAAGTTTTTCATAGTTTTACTTACTACTTAAGTATGTCTTTTGTAATTAGGTCTCTGATTTTAGAGCCATATTGTTATTTTTTGAGCTTAAATTATTTTCTGTTTTGATTTGAAAGAATACTTTAAGTTAATTTGTTTCCACTTGTTATAATTGCTATAATTTTGTTTATTATTTTTAAGTTTGTGGCAAGATAAATATCTGTTTACTCCCTTTCTTAAATTTTATTGTACTTTTATATTTCTTACAAAATATAACTTTATTAATATCATAATACAGCTTTTATTTTATATGAGACCAATAATAGATAAAAATATCAAAATAATGTAAAATACAAAGCCACTAAGTTTTACATTTAAAAATATTTCGAGTTTGATATATTCAATAACTGCATTTATTTCACCAAATTTTACTCTACCTAATGGATTTAGCTTGTAGGAATACTAAATAAATAGCCGAAATAAGTAGCTAATTGTAGTTACGTTATAAATAATAGTTGTGGCAAAATTAAACAACTTGATTTTTAATGTTTTATTTTGTTATAGTTAAAGATAGAGTTCAGTTTGTTAAAGCATAATATAAAAGGTAATCAGGTCCACAAAATATAAAATTACCGACACTAAAATTGTCTCACATTTTTTAACAAATGTACATTAACTGAAAAAAAAACCACTGAATCGCGTTTATCTCAGAACTACAAAATCATAGTTATTTAATTATCCAACTACGGGGACGAACTGATTGTGGTCGTCACATAATTATACAAGTATGTTCTGGTCGGCGTCAAACTCAAGGACTTGGTAAGGATTCGATAACTAGCCAACAGGCCCTTTAAAATCTTTGGATCCTGGGTGAAACTGCTAGTATACTTAAGAACGTCTTATTACCGTATTTATTTCTGCATTCCAGGTCTTTGTTACAACAACATCAACGAGCGACTTGACGAACCGTTCCCGACCACTCTGGAAGACCTGCAAGGCTTCTGGGATATGGTCTGCCTCCAGGTCAACAACGTAAACGCTTTGTACCAACACATAGCTGAGCTGAAGGCTAACAATTGGCAAGAGGTAGGAACTGAAAGAATTTAAGTATTGAAACAGCCTTATGGTATTGCCATGCGATATCGGCACAACGGTGCCAATCGGGTATCATTCTTTTTTTTACCATTCGATAAATCCATCACTGCGTGTTGGTGATCTGGATCAATGGCTTTTTGTTCTGAATGTAGAAGGTACGGCTATTATGTCACCATTTTCAAGAAGTTGCAGTAAAAGTATGAAATATATTTATTATTCATTGATTTGTTAATTATCATTGCGAATTATAAAGGACAGTCGTGGGAACGAGAAGAATAGAGAATGTCTTTATTACCCAACACACATACAACATTCTTAATTATATAATTATGTTGACGTATGGGAATTAGGCGATCACGTAATAGATGTTACATGCTATTGAATTGCCTGACATTTATCTGTGGCCAGCGCCACCTGGTGGAGCGTCAGGCAAATTAAAAATATTTGTAATATTATCATGATGATGTTAATTCCTGAATATTTTTTTTATTTAATTGTTTGTTGTCGTCCGTCCCAGCTGGCCGCCCCGGTGCAGCCCGCCCCCGCCCCCGCCCCCGGCCCGCCCTTGGCCCGGCCCCGGCCCCGCGCCGCTCCGCAGCTCAAGAACGAGAAGGCGCGACTGGCCGCTGAGAAGCGAGAGGCCGACAGGAAAGCTATGCTCGACCATCGGAGGTGAACACCACAGACTATAGCATATATTTTTATATCTGTAGTCTTTGTAATAATATATAATTCTTGTTTAATAAATCAGCAACAGCGGAAGGAAGTACAAAAAATTTAAATTGTATTACGCAGCGATATTCGTATACAGGTAGCGGAATCTTTATATATTTAAATTATCACAAACCAAATTACTTGTTCATTCAAATAACGTTGTTCACTTTTAATTATATTTATTATTTTGATGATAGTGAGCTAGCTGAATTAATTGAATATATTAAGAATGGTTGGCCTAATAACATTCCAAATCATTTACATAGTTATCACAAGTTAAAGGATGACTTGTCATTTGATGACAAATTAGTATTCTTTAAAGAAAGATTGATTGTACCTAAAAGTTTAAGAATGTCTACATTAAAGATTTTACATGAAGGACACATAGGTATGTCAAAAATGAAACAGTTAGCTCGGAAATTATACTATTGGCCTCATATAGATAGTCACATTGAAGAATTTGTGAAAAAATGTTTCCCCTGTCAGACTTATCAAAATAATAATGTAAAAGAACCATTGATTTCACATACAGTTCCTAGTTTACCATTTTCAAAGTTAGGTATTGATATCATGGATTTTAAGACGAAAAGTTATTTGATAATATATGATTATTACTCCAAGTGGTTAGACATTAAGTATCTGAGCAGCAAAACTGCAAGTGCAATTAATAATAGTTTACTAGATTTATTTTGTAACTTTGGTGTTCCTTCTGAGATTGTATCAGACCATGTACCATTTGATTCTCGTGAATGTAAAAATTTTGCGCAAGAATGGGGTTTTAAATACACTTACACTAGTCCTAGATACCCGCAGTCTAACGGAATGGCTGAAAGAGGAGTTCAGATAGCTAAAAAAATTATGTATAAGTGTAATGAGGATAATACAGATTTTAGAGTAGCTTTGTTAAAATATAGAATATCACCAGTTACTGGAACAAATTTCTCTCCTTGTGAATTGTTAAGGAATAGGAATTTAAGAACAAAATTAATAACTTCACATAAATACTTGGAACCAAAATTAAATAGTAATGTAAAGCATCAATTTAGTAAACAAATGGAGAGAAATATTAAGAGTTATAATAAGACGAGTAGAATGAAAAAAGAATTTAATGTTGGTCAAAATATATGGTTTAAAAAAGAGCCACAAAAGAATGTATGGTTACAAGGTAGAATTGTTAGTTATAATGGTAATAGGTCTTTTAACATTAGGGAGAACAATAATGTAAATTATACCAGAACCTCTTTCTTTATTCGACCAGCGTAGACTTTGTGGTTCACCAGAGGAGGGGCTTGCTGGTTGAGTGTGTGATTGCAGTGTAACTTAATATTGTAGTAATTAAGACTGATGTAATATCCTAATACTATAGTACTTTAGTATTTAAGATTGTTATTTTGTAAAAGGGGATGATGGAGTTATTGTAATAACAGAAGTTTGTTCTTATTTTTTGTTAAAAGCAGTTTAATGTTAATAATTTGTTTTAGGGGGCAGAATGTTTGAATGTTTCATTTTTTTAATATTTGTAAAAGGGGATGATGTAGTAACGGAACGTTACCTTGTCTATGATTGACAAATGTCAATTGTGCTTTATGTCAACTCTCTCTCTTGTCGCATCAACCCAAGAAGCAACACGTAGCATGAATCCATTAGATTTATCATATAATATTAATACTTACAATAAATGTAAAATAAACCAAACAATAAACTGAAGAAGACCTACATATTGTTTTAAAAATAATTAGACAACAATACAGTGTGCGCTTGTTGTAGGTGAAAGGAAGTCTTCTTTCGCTAAAATTAAAATTTCAATTCCACTTGAAGATAAATCAATATAAATGACTGCACGGATGGCGTAGTGGTTTAAGTGGTCGCCACGCCGCTTCCTACTACGCCGAGTGTTGTGGGTTCAAACCCCACATGGGACGAAACTTTGTGTGACCCTCAAATTGTTGTTCTAAGTCTGGGTGTTCTTTGTGTGCGTTTCATGTATGTTTGTAAAGTCCCCCGCGACACAGGATATATACCTAATGCGGGCGATGTCTTAAAAAAAAACAGAAATTACGCCCCTCATCTTTGTGGTGACTTCACCTTTGTCTTTCAATTAAGAATACAGAGTGTAACCATCCCTATTCATCCCGTGGGTGTCGTAAGAGCCGACTAAAGGAGCAAACAACGCAGGACAATACCACTGCAAAGAGAAGGAAAACTTGACAAACCCTACACCAACCGTCTGGCCAGAGTGGTATGATAGGCCAAAACCTCCTTTCTAAGGAGAGGTCTATGTCTCTGGACAGGCTGTTGGTGTGATTGATATGATGTGAATTATGCTCCTAAACGGTAATTACCACCGGACAGGAATTACAAACCTTTGAATCAGCTGACCTGTCATCTCTGGTAAATAAATAGTCATGATATCAGAATTCCTTCAGAAGTCTTTTTAACTTCAATCATGTCATATTCCAATTATGATGTATTCCAGACGCGTGGCGCGCGAGCGACAGCTGGCGGCTCGCGCCGGGACCAGCGCTCTCGAGCACAGCGACATGGGCATCGAGGGGAGCCAGGTCTGTGTGGACAACTACGTTTCATAATTTCTTACATATTATGTACCAAGTACTTTAATTGTATTTTAATTTATATTGCTTTACTGTATGTGCATTCCACAACTATAAATATTAGACACATAGACTGCACAGAAACAATTATGGAATGCAATAAAAACAAAAAGTATTGGGCTGTTTCTTTAATAAAATGGGAAAACGAACTAAAAGCGCCTATTTGAGTCTGTTGCTGTTGGCTTTGTAATAGTATAATATGTAACATGTAATTCGGTGTCGCGACGCGTCGCCATGAACAAGTGTCACTCTCAGGACATAAAACACGGTACGGTTTCACATCTGTCAGACGTCTCCCGACAGCTCAATTTGGTTTTCGTATTTATTGGTTTTATATATATTTTTTATAATAATAACTCAAAATATGTTAACATAGACTGGACACAAAATAATTCTGTATTAATTGGTTCCAGGAGGTGGAAATCTTCGTGGGCAAGAACGCCAAGCCGTCTAAAGTCGCGCCGAAAGGTGATTGTAAGAGTGCCGCGGATTCGTACGATTCTTTTAACGAAGAGAGCTGATTGCACTGTCCTTAGAATATAAAGCGTGTCTGTTGAACTGTGTGCGTACGTCTCAGGAAACACTCGAAGCACTTCTACTGAAATTATAATATATTTATCATCATCAGCCTATAATAGTCCACTGCTGGACATAGGCCTCTCTTTAGGCTAATGTATTGCGGGCCTTATTAAGACGATAACTTATATAAAAAATAATATAATATTATCATTATTCAGTCTTTTGTACAAAACAACAAAATTATAAAAAAAATGATTTTTTTAATTTATATATCAAGATCTCAATTTTAAGACGTATGTACACAGCTTAAAAGATAAAATTAAATGTCCAGTTTTGAATGAATTTGTATGTATTGAATGCATGTAATTTAAAAAAGTAATGAAATTATGATACTCAACGCATTAGGAATATGGAATCGTATTATTTTTTTATTTTTTCGCAATAAATTTCTTGTTTTATTCCCATTTTGTTTTGTTGTTTACAATTTTTATCGAATTTTTATACTTAATTAAATTACTGTAATATGCCTTTTAAAGCCTTTTAAAAATCAAAGACCACGAAGGCCAATAAGAAAATAGTTTTATACCAAAAGGACGAACTCGTAAATTGTGGCACCGATAACTTCCACGCTGGCAAGTCTTGGCCTTTTCAGATAAATTATTTTATTCAAATAATATATCAGAAAGTCGTACAACATTATAACGATGACGTATGTTTTTGGAAACATTAAATTACATGTCCAGCAATATTGTAGTTCCAACTACCAGAATATCCAGACGCCGCAAGGCCGTAATAAAGAAAGTAGCGATATTGTCTATCGCTCTTATTTTAACAACACACTAAGAACAGTGTCAACTTTCAAAATCTCTAACGAATCCCTAATATTTTAGTGTTTTCTTTCATTCTCATTTTTTATATATATCCAATCTAATTCAAACAGTTGGCTTATGGTAATGCTTTTGAACGTAACTTTAAATTTGTCATGAAAAAGCATATCGAGAAAAATTGTAAATAAGAAAAGTTATTTTAAAATTATTCAACAGTTTAATAAAAATAGGCTTTGCACGCTCTTTTAGTCTTAAAATTTCTTCCTCGTACATGTACCCTCATTGCCCCCCCCCCCCCCCGAAATTTGGTTACATTTGTAAAAATGAAATATTATTATATTGAACTATCAATCAAACATAGTAGGTATATTAATATATTGTATAAACAAACTGCGTCTGATTAAATTTATATTTTGGCATAGACAACGAATATATTAATAATTAATTTTATGTAATTCTTGCTGTTTAGTGCAAAGACACCATTGGCCTAACACGAAATTTGTTTTTCTATTGCTAATTTATATAGTTCAGAATAGACACTTAACTAAAATTGTCTTGAAACTGAATCTGTTAACATTTCACACAAATCTTAAACAGTTTGTTTGCAACTACCCACAACCGAATTGTAAAACTATCTTAAGTAGTAAAATTTAATTAATAAAAAAAAACTCTAAACCTTATCTCTCAATTATAATTATATATTATTTAAACGGTCGCGTAATATTCCATTTTATTTAGCATTTTCACTTTAACCGAACACCAAACTAGCGAACGATTATTTTACGTAGGAAGAAATACCATAGAGACATTTTTGTAGGCGGTTGCTAACTCGAATAAGGAAACACATCAAATAATATTGTAAACATGTTAACATCGGAACGAATGATGTTCTACAGGTCAATGCCAGATCTTTCGGCAGGTGTTGGCTGTATGTAGCAAGAAGCTTATATATTAAATAGTAAGTGATAATATTTATAATTGTAAGCGGCCGGCACGCAAATTTTCGCTTTAATAACATACTTATACTTAAAAAAATAATTGGTAAGTCTCTAGCTGGTCATCTTTTAACTAAATATACAGTTAATACAAAATATCGACAAGCTGATTCCTCTTAATATAAAATTAGTGTCTGCTTCAAACCGCCTCGAAGCAAAATGTTATGAAACACAGTGAAGCAAATTACGAAGAACCGTTCACAGTGATATAATAAAAAATATGATCAGCTTTCGCTAGTCACTTGTTTCTGTAATCGTCTGTCCCACATTTGTATTTATTTTTTATTTTGTCACAGCGTTGCGACCGGATGGCGTAGTGGTTTGTGTAACGGACTGCTTTTCCAAAAGTTGCGGGTTCGATTCCCGCCCAAGTCAAACATTTGTGTGCATGAACATTTATTTTTTGATTAGGTCTGGGTGTTTCTATGTAAAATATGTATGTATTTACAAAAAAAAAGTATTTATATCAGTTGTCTAGTACCCATAGTACAAGCTCTGCTTAGTTTGGGACTAATTGGCGTGTGAATGTGGTACAATATCATTATATTATATTGGTACAATATTATGTTGGTTGTGTCAAGAATAGCTACCTGTGTAAAATGTGTTTAATCTACCCATATTTGCTCAATGTCACGAGCTACTTACCTCCTTGTTATTTACTGGTGAAAGTGATTAGTTCCGACATAAATTTTGGTTGTGTTTCGTCTCTGTAAATCTTTACAATTTTTTTAGAGGACGAAACAATTAGTTCTAAAGTTATGATTAAAATAAAATATGCAATCCGTCGGGGCATGTTATTTTTGTACGGTGTTCAGTATACATACATACCTATAACTTGCCCAGTATCAGACAGAGCAAATTACTGCTAATTGAGCTGTTTATGCTCTCTGGTATTATTCCCCATATTATCTATCCATATATCGATATCTTATATCGTTTTTAATTAACACGATTGGAGACTGTTGCATGTTTGACGGCGTCCGCCGTGAATTAGTCCAAGAGCTAATATTTTAATTTTCTGATATAAACGTCAAAACGATGGCGGGTGTTTGAGAAAATCGAATACTTTTAGGAAATAACGATAACATCTCTCGGGTCTCTATCAATTATTAAAATGTTGACAAAAAAGAAATAAACACATTCCATTATCCCTTAATTATATGAACACCTTTAAAAATGCATGTCACATAATGTTTACACGAAGACAATAAAAGTTTATCTGGGGGAAAGAGTGGTTAAAACACTGGTATTTTATGTGCTGTAGCAGCAATTAAATGTAGACTGGAGAAATCTTATCCTAGTTAAATTGATTTTCTGTATCTTATTCAGTAACTCGGAGAGCTTATAACTTCAACATCCGATAAAGTAATGTGGAAAGTAAAAATAAAATGGACGGGCAATTTATTTATAATGTTAAATCGTATGTTTGTTATGTTGTGAACGCTAGGGTGTTTGATATTGTTAATGATTTTGCGAGTGTTAAGGTTTTATAGTTGTACTTTCTGAAGTACATTGCGAAGATATTGCTAGGTGAAGTTTCCATTTGGAGTCGCAAATTATCTAAGCTTCCATCATTGAGGACTTCATCTTCTGTAATATTTCCTAGTGTTATCTATCTGCCGCAATGTACTTGGAATTTAATGCATATTATTAGTTAAGATACCTAATTGAATTAATATTAATTTGTACAAAATCTACAGGTTTCCTATCTTGTATTTTATTTTTAAACATGGCAACGAGCATTTATAGTAGCAATATCTTTAGAGTAAAAGAAGTGTTCTAGCATTCATTCACCATAGCATGTTAATAATCTTATAAATTCAACATAATTAAAAAATACTTTAAAACTTTACAAAAAAAATGTTAGTAAAACTAGTAAGTAATCACGAATTATAGGCAGTGTTGCCATGCTTATAACTTATTTAATATTGCTTTTACAAGATTCGGGTCTGGATACTTTATTTATATGAAATAATTTCAAGAATATTCTGATCAAGTAATTTTAGGCGAATTTACTAAAGTTTAAGTCACTATATTTATTGTACACACCTAATTGAACAAATATATATATTTCTTAGCAATATTTTTTCAAAATTTTGTAATGAAATTACCATGTATGTTGCATTGTCTAAGATAATATACCACTTAACAAAACTAAGGCATTCCTTGCATCCTGACTGGATTATGCAATTGTACATCGTAATTTTATAAATAATAGAAACTCGTAGTTACTATTATCAATGTGGAAAAATAAAAATCACTATTGAATATATTATACGAAATTATGTGTCAAGCATATTACAATTGAAACACGTATGTATTTAATGAAAGTTAAAATATCCGCTGTAAAATAATTTATACAATAAAGATCATGACATTGGTTATTACATTGTTTTATTTTGAAAGCTTAAGATGGTTGCGCAGCAATGCCTTAATGAAATGTCTTGCATCTACACAATTCCCTTCCAGTAGATAATATTTCCACCTTCTATACCTTCGCTTATATACTTACGCCTTATAAACTTTCGATCACCACCAGCAAAATGACGAGATTATTATGATTATTGCACCTCTTCCAACGCGCGGCTATCAACTGTCCGAACGTAACTTCATTCTTCGGAGCCGAATTTCTTCTAAACTTCTAAAACCTACCAGCAAAAGCAACCTAGTATCTGCTACAACCTCACCCTCTGACTTTAGAAAGCCGCACCAGGGCCTCAATTCTGCTATTTTATTATTGTATCAATAGACTGTCGATGGAATGTCGACGGAATAGTTTTGCACTTTTCTTATTCTACTAACTATGTACGACCAATGATCTCCCAATGACTTGTCACTGATAAAAATGTCGTCGATGTCTTTGTAATAGTTCGGTAAACGGCACATTTTAAATTTGTAAGAAAATGATATATTTAATTTTCATGATATGGTAATGTTGTTGATATAACCATTGATGACCTGTATTACTATATCGACAGTCTATTGACACTTTGAATTTATGTTAGTAGAATACCGATATTTTGACCGATGTCAGTGGCATCTCAATAGCTTGTCAATGGAATGACAGTGGCTTGGCGTTTACATAAAATAGTAGAATTGAGGCCCTGTTCGCAAGAGTTAAGACTACTGCCATAAAAAAAATCTAGAATTATATAAATTGATACTGTATCAATGTCGATA